GCCGATGGATGCCTGATAAATTCTAAATATTTTTCTTCATATGACCTGATAAATATTAAATTTAACTTTAGATGATCATATAAATAATAAATTTCTCTTCAGATGACCTGATAAATGCCAAATTTCTAAGGATGTAATTTCCGAATTTTAGAGGCAATATGCCAAGCTTATGGCAATATGTCAATATGGCAATATGTCAAGTGTATACTTTTTGCAAAGTGTGTAACTTCTCCACAACCCTTCCCAACATTATGCCAAATTAGGAATGCTGAATCTGCTTTATATATGAAGTTTTAATTAAAAAGGATGATTTCAATTGCCAAACATTAAAAAAATTACCTGAATAATTTCTAACGATAATTAAAATTAATTTCTTAGATAATTCCTTATCGTATCATTTTGATAACTATATACAGGGTGATTATAATTAAAGTCCCCCTTTCAAAATTCTGTTTAAAAAAAACTACTCCTCACAATGAGTTCAAATTTGAATTGAAGATACTTAAAGAAGGGGGAAACGGTATGTCATCAACAAAAAAAAGTTCCACTGATTTTTCCCTTGCAATTTGGTATGACCTTGCAGTGGTGGATGGACTTTCCACAAACACTGTCACAACTGTTTAATCACTAGGAAGTAATTTTTTCCGTCAAAAAACCAAAACAATCAAGCACATTGAGCACTACAATTGGTTTAATGTGCAACTCATGCCAAATACTTTGTCATTTCGATTCAAAATGTCACTGGAAGCCGAACTCATTTTCTTTATGCCGCTTATAGCGCTATCTATCAATACATTTTGGAACTTTTTTTCAATTATTTTCTTCAATTCAAATTTGAAGTCCTTGTAACCATTTTATAACATTTTGAAAATGGGACTTTAATTATAATCCAGCTATATACTTATTTTAAAATCCTATTTTAATAAAAACTTTAAAGCACACTTCATATAGTAATTTTAAAAATTCACCTAGATTTAAGTGAAACTACCGAACTGTTAAATCTTATCTTAATTATGTTTTAAATATTTTCTGATTCGGGAATATTAACAGATTTTTATACATCTGACCAAAGAGATTACATTTTAAATTATATTAAATCTTCATTTAAATTGAATCAAATCAAATATTTTGCATTCTCTTTGTTTATTACATTTCTTTTCTTTCTTGAAACATTAACCAACTTTCTAACATTATTTGTCATTCTTTTACTCCAAAAAAAGTCAATTTTTAATGAAGACCTAATGCAATTTGAAGAAGGAATTCTTTTTAAGAAGTTTCATTTCGATTTACCCTATATCCAGTTTTAAAGTAATATAAAAATCACTGATTGTAATCACTTTTGTGGGTATTATAGGAACTGAGATAAATTTAAGTCCCGAAGCTTTATTTTATTGTAAAAATTCGATTTAGTTGGCTTCCGAAATTACTTCTCAAGAAACTGACGAGGTATTGAAGTAATGCGTAATACGAATTTTAGGCGAAATCAATTTTACCATTGTTTTAACTTAATATCTTAGGGAACTCAAATGTATTTTTAACAGTTTTCTCTTTTTTATATAAATTAAATATTACCAATTTTGAAACTTTTCATAGTTAAATCGATAATTCTGACAAATTATAAAGGTGAGCCCGGCATTCGAAATCAATTTTTTTACATGGGAACATATACGCAGAAACATTTTGCATACATTTTACAAAAATAATAAAGAAAGAAAATATGATATGCAAAAGATGTTTATTCAACTATACAGAAAAGCAAAATTTGTTATCTGCTACACAACATTCTTAGATTGTCCAAAATTGCATAACTGACATGAGCACTTGGTTCTGATTAGACAATTCTTTTTGCAAAATTTTCATTGTACCGGGCGCGATTCGGGAGATCATTGTGGCCAGATGACAATTTCAATGGGAATATCTTAAATAGTGTTTCATAGCTAAAACCTTTTCTAATTAAGTAGGCAGGTCTAGAAGGTTCTGGTAAACTATAAAGATGAGTCAGGCATTCGAAATCAATTGACATTTTTACATGGGCAACATATAAGAAGAAACAATCGCATGCTTGCCATCAGTACAAAAAGAATAAAAAAGTTTAATATGCAAAAGATGTTCGTTCAAGTAAAGAACAAAATTTGGTATCTGCTTCGTAACAGTGATTCATAGAATCCAAAACTTTCCAAAATTGCATAATTGAAGCTAACACATGGTTCTGATTAGACTATTTTTTTGGAAGTTTTCATTGGAATCAAGGACAATTCGGAAGATCTCTATGGGCAGACGATAAATCCAATGAGAAAATCTTAGATAGTGTGATATATGTGAAAAAAAGAAAGGTCAGAAACATCACTTTATTAAGTCGAAGAGCATTACTGCAGTTGAAATGTTAAATACGAAAATAATCGATTGATTGTGGATGAATATATGGATTGCGTAAATGCATGTTTCAGTTTCATGACATACATTGAATATGTCATGAAATTGAACCCCAAATCCTCGCCCTTATGGAAAACTTTTAATTATGATACTTAATAATATTGCTTTTGTTGAAGTCCTTATTAAGCAAATTATTGATGAATTTGTAGAAGTAATTTTAAGTTGATCTACCAGTAGGCAGATTTTCTTGGCCCACCATGGGGCTGTTACGCCAATGAAGAAGAATTTTAAGATGGGTGAATAGGTAGTATGGTGCATGAGGAATAAACAGCTAATTAGAAGAATATATTTTCTAAAAATTTCCGCCATTTTATAAGCATTGCAGATCTTTTCTTTTGTCATGAAGAATTTTAAGTATAAAAAGGATTGACACGCATTTTCTAATTTCCCAAATATATTCTTTCAAAAGTCATTCTCAAGGATTACATTTTATTGACACTGAGAATAGAAAAAACCCAAATTGATACACAATAATCGATTCTAACGACACAGCACAATACTACACAATCAAATTATACCACTTTACATACGCCTACACGCCCTATACGCCTACAAATTTACGCCTCTACGAGGAAGTCACAGAAGAAAAATTGAATTAAATTAGCCAAAGTTTTTAATTCATGCAAGCTTCAAACAGAATGACGAGGAATTCTAGACTAATCGCTATCTAGACTGTAACTAGAAAAATTCATGTTTTTCGATTTCTATGAAATTAACTCTTATAAAATGCTGTTTATTTAATTTTTGTATCAATATAAATTCAGATGAATTATATTAGCCCAATTTAAAAATACTCGCTTTTGATTAACGTAAAGCGATGCTAACAATATAGCTAACGATAAGGGATTTGAAATATTTATGAAATGCTTTCTTTAGACTGTTAATCTAGATTAGTCTTCTAACTAAACATAATAGTATAATTATATATATGAAAATATTATAGTTCGGTGTTTATTAATAAAGTTTAAAATAATGTAAAAATATTAATCATAAACCATAATGACAGTTAGCCAATATACTTTTCAAATTTTATAATTTATCTCTATTATAAATTATCTATATCTTGGTTTTATTTTTAATATTTGTTCCTTTTAGTAATATGGCGGCTTGCTGGCCAATTGGCTAATAGTGAATAATTTATGAAAGAAATACGTAATTCATTTCACGTATAAATTACTATTAAAGCTCAGCTACTGCAAATGTGGACTCTATTGTTTTTCTTGCATTTTTATTGTTTTCCTTTTTTTTTATGCTTTTTGAGTTCTGATTAATGTAAAATGTATAAATCGTAGTTAAACAAACAAATAATAATAATAATAATAATAATAAATCATTTTTTTGTCCCTATAAAAAAATTCGCCCCGGAAGAGGTTAAAAATATTTTGTTTAAAACGAATTTGTTTTCAAATTTAAATGTATAACTATTAAAATATGGAGGATAAATGGCTATGTTACAAGAAAAATATCCAAATTTAAGGGAAAAAAAATGAATATCATTGCTGAAAAATTGCTTTACTAAAACTAATAAGATATTTATTTGCTCCTCTAAATTCATAAAAACTCTAATCTCATTCAAAAAGAAAAAATAATAATATTTGTATATTTCCTGTAAATATTAATCTATATGCAAATCAAAGGAATAAAAACTACTGTATGCACAAAAAAATAAATCAAAATGACATCAAATTAAAAATAGACTAAAAAAAAGTTAAGATACAAATTTCGCAATTTGGTAAATTGAAAAATTAGTTTGTAATAATTCATGAATAATATTTTTTTCTATGAAGTTAAAGTTCATCCTTTTTAAAACACATCAGAAATCAGTAATCAGCCTTAGTAATACCAAGACATTCAAGCTGTGTTCTTTGAAAGTGATGCAAGTCTTTTTTTTTTCAAAAACTTAGTTATTGATAATAATTAATGCAATCTGCTATGAGCTTCTTACCTATAAACAATTCGCAGGAAAATCCTTCAAAATTTTGTCAATATAAATTTACGTAGTTAATGAAATTATAAATGTAGTTGCTTTCAAAGCGGTGTAAGTTCACTTTTCGCAAAAACATAATATTTAGTTAAAAAATCCTACTACATAAATTTTCTACTTCATTTTTATAGGTTATTATATTTTTAATGACATAAAACTTTTCATTCGTTCACTGGAGTTTTCTTGTTTGCTTCTGGATCATCGTCAGAGGAGCTAGAGTTGAAAACGTTATTAGTGTTGTGTTCTGTTTGTTCACTATAGACATGCTGTATATAGTGAAATTGTGTTGTTGTTTCTTATCCCACTTGGCAGACATTTCTAGGCCAAGCCCACGAGCCTATATGTACTCATGATTGAAGGGGAAGGAAGCAGCTTCTGTTGTGATGGAGCACCCGTAGGTAGAAGCCTGACTTTGGCTCCGTGACGCTCTTACAGTCAGAGGAGACCGGGACCTACGGCTTAAAGTGGATTCCGAACCACTACAAACATCCATGGCACCGCCGGGACTCGAACCCGAAACCTGTGGCACAGAGCGCCAGAGCGCTAGACACTCGGCCATTCAGGTCCCAAATGTGTGAATGCCAACGGCACGCGGTATTCCCAGGTGGTCACCCACCCAAGTACTGACCGCGCCCAATGATGCTTGACTTCGGTGATCTAACGAGAACCGGTATATTCAGCATGGTATGGCCGTTGGCTGTGAAATTGTATATTATACAATGCATTATAAAACTTCCTTTGATGAGAATGCGGAAGTTAAAACACTAGATTTAACCCCTAGATGAGAAAGAGCACTCAAATTTGAAATTTTTTTTTTTTTTTATCATATGCCCGTATCCGACCCCTCCGTCATTAGTCGACGAGCAGCCCAATACAGTAAAGAACGACAAAAACAACCACTAAAAGCATTGAGAGTAACGCAAAAAGGATACAGTTAAGAACAGTAGGGCATATGATGAGGTGCTCACCAGTCATGGACAGGTCATAGTCTCAAAGAGGGCAGATATCTGTAGCCGCCAGTACTATTCTATACAGGTGACTCTTATAAGTAGTCATGGCAGGTCACAAGTCTAAAGCACGCCTCACAGATCGCTCTAAATAAGAATCTGGGAATTTCTCTTGACTTATTCGATAGGGAATTCTACTTTTTCTCAGAAGCCTACTCTCCGTATAGGTTGAAACGGTTGGATTTAATAGAGAAAGAAATATAGCGCCTTATTTGACACAAAGGCAACGGAGGATCAGGTTGCATCATTTGTGATCCATTCTTGACCAACATATCAGCTTTCTCATTTCCATATAATTTGAAGCCAACGGCCGTACCATGCTGAATATATATCGGTTCTCGTTAGATCACCGAAGTCAAGCATGATTGGGCGCGGTCAGTACTTGGGTGGGTGACCACCTGGGAACACCGCGTGCCGTTGGCATTCACAAATTTGGGACCTGAATGGCCGAGTGTCTAGCGCTCTGGCGCTCGGTGCCACAGGTTTCGGGTTCGAATCCCGGCGGTGCCATGGATGTTTGTTTGTAGTGGTTCGGAATCCACTTTAAGCCGTAGGTCCTGGTCTCCTATGACTGTAAGAGCGTCACGGAGCCAAAGTCAGACTTCTATCTACGGGTGCTCCATCACAACAGAAGCTGCTTCCTTCCCCTTCAATCATGAGTACGTATGGGCTCGTGGGCTTGGCCAGCCAAGTGGGATAACAACAACAACAATAATACTAACACCTAAATATAATACTAACACCTTTATATATCATGGCAGGACCATCATGTTCGAAAAATTCAACAATATGATGAATTATCACCTGATATTAATTCAATACATCATGACTATTTTCAAAAACTTTCTCACAATGATAAAACATTAAAATGGCATACATTAATATAATTAAAAATAATTATATATTTAGAAATTTATATATTTATAAATTTATATATTTAATTTATATACTTATTTATTAATTTATATATTTATTTATATATTACATATATATTTAAATATTATTTTAAATTTCGATTGAATTATTGAAATTTATTTATTAAATATATTTTTGTTTTTCGACATATTTAATAAAAATATCATAAAAAAAATTAGTTTGATTCAATTGAAATCCCATATTTAATATTTCATAAATGTATGATTTTACTATTTTGTTGACTTTGAAAGTGGTCTAAGTCCATTTGAGGTAATCAGAAGTAAAAAAAAATATTTTAACTAATACTTTAAAAGCGAACACATTATAAACTTAAATAAATTCAATATATGAAGAACATAAAATGAGAATATTAACACATATCAATATTTTTCAAACCTTTTCAAATACAAATCCTTAAATATCTCCATATAATATAAAATGGACTTACACCACTTTCAAATAAAACTGCTCATTTATGAGTCCTTATTTATATGAAAACACCTAAAATATTTAAAGGCAGTAAAATAAATTTCGATGATTGCTAAAAACCCAAAGTGTGTAAGTATAGTATTATACTTAAGATATATTTAAATTTATAATTCTAATCTTATTATCTATAGCGCATTGAAAGATTGTAAATAAGGGAATTGAAATAATTATTTTTCATATGTCGAAAGACATTGAACGGAATATATGATGGAATTATATAAATATTTTATTAAAAATGAAGATATCTCAGTAAAGTGATGCATTAATGTCTGCTTTATATATAGATAAAATAACTTGTTTATAGATGTTAATAAAATTACAACACTCGGTTAATCCAAGTTTAACTAGTAAAATCCGAGTTTAACTAGTAAAGGAAGTTATAATCATTTTAACAAAAATATCTTAATATTCTAATATTTGATTAGTCTATAATTTAAATAAAAATGACTCACTAGAAAGATACATTTTTTTAGTTAATTTGTATTATTGGAAGATATAGATTCATGTAAAAATTTTAATATAAAGTCAATGGAGAGATTTTTTTTAATTAGTTAATTAGAAATTTTTTTATACTTGTTTACATGACTTGCATTGTTATTATTGTTATAATTAATGATGTTAATCAACAGACATTTTTTGTAGATAATGAAAAATAGAGATTTTCTTTAAAAAAAAAGTAATCAAATAAATAGATCTACTCATTTATTGAAATAATTGTTGATTTTTAAATACATTTAATTTTCTAATATCAAATAGACAGATTTACTTTTGAATCCATGTTTCCTCCTACACACTGGTAAAAACGCCCCCTGCTGGCGTTCAGGAGAAATGGCCAGTAGGCGTCGAGATTCTCAACAAACAGGAAGTACAGCGAAACTGGCCCTGAGAAGCGTTTAGTTTATAGACTCTCATCCCGAGAGGAAATATATTTAGCGCATCGCGGCGTATTAGTTGGCCTACAGTCTCTCACCAGGAAATGAAATATACTTCGTGCACTATGCGTGTAGCAAAGTTTTGGGTTTTCGGCTTTCTGGAGCCCTTCCAGGAATCTGTCTTTAAATGTGTTAAATAGTGATGTCTCTAATTGTACGTGTGTGGTGTTTGTGTGTGTGTAAATAAAGCTGTGAGTTCTCCAAACCGTGCTTTATCTCAACCCAATTACACCCAAATTTGTTGCCCAGCCTGTACACTATATTCTACAATTTGTAACGGCATTTTTTTTTTTTTTTGCATGTGAAATAATGTAAATAGTTAATATGTAAGCAATTTCCATCTAAATAATGTAAATAGTTAATATGTAAGCAATTTCCATCTAAATAATGTAAATAGTTAATATGTAAGCAATTTCCATCTAAATAATGTAAATAGTTAATATGTAAGCAATTTACATCAAAATAATGTAATAAAATATAATATTAGTCATTTATTACAGACGTTATTTTCAAAATTTATTATATACCGCAAATTTCAAATTATGAAATGTTAAGTGGTTTTAAATTATTAATCTGAATTTAATATATTCTTCTATTATTTATATATTAATCTTCTATTAATATATTCTTCTTATATATATATATATATATTAAAAAAAATCAGTTATTCGTGCTGGAATACATATTTAAAATAAAAACAATTTATTCTACAGAGAATCTTTATAATAGAGATTATAATAAGAAATATATACCGTATTTAGATTACTAATAACTGATTAGAACACAACACAAGTCAGAGGTTTCAATAATATCGAAAATGTTTCATATTGTTCGAAAAAAATATATATTAGTTTATTCATTTTCACCTTCAGTAGTTTCACAAAATAATTCCGCGTTAGGCATATAATACATATTAACAAGTAATATATATAAAAAAAAAATTAAAATCAATTTCTATTTTTTTTTCACTCTATTGCAGAAAGTCCTTTATAAATAATTTTCATTCATTTTTTTTAAGTTTATCTAGGGCCATCTATTGGTAGATATATGGAACTTAAATCCAAAAAAAAATATCATTAAATAATTTCATTTCATTTAATTACTGAATTAATATTTGAAAAAACTGTATTAACATCAAGTGCCATCCACTACAAGTTCAAAAAATATATTTGAACGTGAGTGTATGAACAAAAAGTATTTTATGAACGATTTAATATTTGAACAAGATATATATAGGGAGAGTGTGAGCTAATAGAAGGAATTGAAAAACAGGATTCAAGAGATAAATTATTTTTTAATTAAATAAATATTTGATTAATTCGTGCCGCACTGAATCTAGTAGATTCGATGGCGATTGTGGCATCCTGTGTAAGCATATCGTCACGTTAGTCAAGTTGCTTTTAGTTTTTTTCTTATACGATACTCAAAGGTAGCGATATCCTAACACTACGTTTCTCTTAACGATATCGTCCTCCCTTCATCACATAATTGTGGGTTATTCATCACCTATCCATGTAATGTAAATACTGCTATATCATCTGTTCAATGGAAAGATGCATTCTGTTTAAAGGCGTAAACAGAGTACCCAATAGCTGGTGCTTGACACATATACGCGGTGCTAGATAATTTTGAAAGATAAAAGTTCAATAATTATTATGGAATTTTCCAATCTTATTTTCTTATATTATTAACTATGAATTTACCAACGGCCATACCATGCTGAATAAATCGGTTCACGTTAGATCTCCGAAGTCAAGCATCATTGATGGTCAGCCACGGGTGGGTGACCACCTGGCAGCGCTCTGCCGTTGGCATTCCTAAATTTGGGACCTGAATGGCCGAGTGTCTAGCGGCGCTCGGTGCCACAGGTTTCGGGTTCGAATCCCGGCGGTGCCATGGATGTTTGTTTGTAGTGGTTCGGAATCCACTTTAAACCGTAGGTCCCGGTCTCCTATGACTGTAAAAGCGTCACGGAATTAAAGTCGGACTTCTGCCTACGGGTTTTCCAAACAAAGAAGCTGCTTCCTTCCCCTTCAACCATGAGTACGTATGGGCTCGTGGGCTTGACTAGCCAAGTGGGATAAGACACAACATAAATTTTAACTGTCAAGTTTATTTAAAACTTTATCCAAAATTACCTTTCGACCCTATTACATTGTTGTGTTTGAATCCATATGATTAGGAAGAAGATGACATTAATTTTCCACGAGGTAACAGGTTAGACTAGGGATGGGCAAACTACGGCCCGCCGGAAGGTTCTATCAGACCCGCGGATAGAATTATAATTTGTCGGTCCGAGGCAAAATAAAAGAAATGTATATTTATATATTATATATCCATCTCCTTTTCTACTTTGATTAAATATTTTTTTTCTTCCTTTTTTTCAAAGGACTGGGGATCTTTTTACTTTCTCTATTTTTGTTCTACAAAACATAAATCGAAGGAAACTGCAAGCACAGACAAGCTTTCAATCGGCAAAGGCTTGAAGTTGGCTTGAAAACTGCATTTTGAGTTCGAACGTAGATTTGAAGATTCAGTGCCATTCAAACAGAATTGGATATTTTCACCATGCCTTTCAACGTAAATTGTGAAGCAGTGTGGTCAGATTTGCAGGTTGAATTAATTGAGTTGTAATCTAACAATCATCTCAAGCACTGTAAAACTCTAACTTTGCTAAATATGCCAAAGTTAGAGTTTTACAAACCATTATCAAAAGTAAGTTTCCCAAATTTAATATCTCACGCCCAGAAAATCAATGCTATGTTTGCTTTATCTTATATATGTGAAAAAGTGTTTTCCACCATGAACCTTAGAAAAAATTATTTCAAAAGTAGACTGACAGATGATCATTTAGCCTCGTTCCTTAGAATCAGTATATCTCACTTCGAACCTCAATATAAGCGACTTTTAAAAATGAAATCGCAATATCATTCATCGCATTAACATATATAAATTGCAATACTTGTATATTGTTTTTAAAAGCTTAAAAAAATTTATCTTGGCCCACCAAACTTTTTTTTTTAAATGTTTGGCCCGCAACCGAAAAGGTTGGCCCATTCCTGGGTTAGACCAATGGTTCTCAA